TCACGAATCTTATGTTTATCACATGGAATGCAATCAACGTGGAAATTTATTATTAACTTCTACTCCATGGAGAAGTCCTATGTCTGTACTTTGGAGTATAGGAACATTCTTTGATTTAAAATTATCTTTAGAAAATGTAGAATATGTTGAATTTGGAAAACTTCAAGATAGAATTATTGGAACTGATAGCGATATTGCAACAGTATGTATTTTATATTTAATATACAATTATATTATGGAATAAAATTTTAATGAAATTTTTAAATTTTATAATTATAGTAAAAAAATATGTAATTATCTTTATAATTTTTTTTCAGATTTATGATATAGCTACTGGACAATTATTAACTAGTTTTGCTCCTACAATTTCTAATCGATATACCATGAATCGTGCTACTTTTAGTATGAATGATGAATTGGTTCTACATGATGGAATTTTATGGGATGCAAATTCAGGAAAACAAATTCATAAGTTTGATAAATTAAATCAAACACTTAATGGAGTTTTCCATCCTAATGGTATTGATATAAATATATATAATTTAATAATTTAATATATATATATATATATATACTAATTTTTATGTTTGTTTTGTTCTTTAAAATTTCTCAAAAAACATTATAAATGTTCCATTAATATTTTAATACTCTGTATAATATATAATTAAATGTAATTTATTAATATAAAAAGAAAAGATATATTTAATATTAAATAATTTTTTATCAATAGGTATAGAAGTAGTATCAAACACGGAAGTTTGGGATTTAAGGACTTTTCATTTATTGAAAACAGTGCCAACTCTTGATCAAATGGAAGTAATTTTTTCTCCTGTTAATGATATCATATATGCTGTATCTTTGGAGAAAGAAAACATAGATGAAGCTAATTATATTACTTCATTTAAAACACTAGATGCTTTGGATTACAGTAATATTGGTAATTAAATTATAATTATAATATAATTATAATTTTTATAATTTTAATTTATTAATAATTTATAATTTTTTGATTTATTAAAAACTTTCAATTTTTTGCACATTTTAAGTTAATAAAATTTTTAAGATATTCCAAAATTATTATAATAATTAAATGATTACAGCTACTTATGATGTTAGAAGAGGAGTTTATGGATTGGCTTGTAATAAATTTGACACGCAAATAGCAGTAGTCGAAATACTTAATGAATTTGATGATAATCACGAATCCAGTGTCAGATTGTATGATGTTGGTAGAAGAAAATGTGATAAAGATGAAACGGATGAAGATGATGATGAAGAAGATCTTGATGCAAGTGATGATGATGGTTCGAACTCCAGTTCTGATGATAATAACGCTGATGGTTTGTATTTATTACGTTAAAATATTTTAATACTACAAATTTTGTATTATAAGTATTTTTTTAATTAATATATTAAGTATATAATTTAAATATTTTCATTAATTTTTTTATGTAATTAATGTAATAATTATGGAATTTGATTCAGAAATCATATTTATAATTATTATTATACAATTACTATTATTATAAATGCATAATCTTTATAATAATTATATAATTATTATTATAAATGATGAGGCATCTTTATTTTTTTATACAGAATGTTGATATATTTATGGGAAATTTTCATCTTTGGAAATTTGATTCTAAAGGCCGAAACAAAGATGTTGTACAAAAATATTGATTGAAATTTATTTATTATAAATTATTTAAATTTCTTAAATGAAGCACAGAAATAAAGTAAGACATTTTATTTCTTCTATTTATCATGTCATCATTTTACATTTCACTTCAATTATTTATAATTTACTAAATAAGCTTTAATTGATACTTTTGTATACTTTTGTATATTTTTTATATATATTTTTGTACAACTTTTCTGTTTTCTAGAATAATTTTTCAAAAATATCCGATAAATATTATTAAAATCTTGTATATAAAAACCATTAGTTACATAACATTTTTTTGCAAATATAATAATATTTATTTTTAAATAGACGCGGATAATCCAGACGCAGCAGCAGAAGAGAATGGTGATGAAAACGAGCGAAATAATCGTGAAAATAATGATGACGATGATGATGATGACGAAGATGATTCAGGTGATGGGGATGATTCTGGAGATGATATGACACATTACAGCGGATCTCCTGATTCTCCTGATATTTTTCTCTCTGATATTGATCTTGAAAGTCTTTCTTCATCATCATGAAATTTTGTCTTCAATAGTTCCAATATATTATACATACAAGTTTATTTCACTTTTGACCAATCAGTGGAGACTGAAAGAAGTTTCATTATAACATAATATTTTTAATAACGTTATTATAATTATTGGCGAAATGGAAATATGCATTTAAGTAAATAGAAACATTATGACGTTATTAAAAATTTCTAATGTTTTATTTATTTATCTCATATATTTATTATATATGAAATGGTATTATTTCATTATGAAGTTTGGATTATGCAGAAAAAAATTCGAAAATATGTAAATTACAACTAGTTAAATAATTTGAATCAAATTACGCAAATTTTGTTCAAATATTTAATTTGAGAATTTGATATTAAATATTTTTAATAAAATTTTTATCAAAAAGTTTTCAAATATATTCCTTTCGCCAATATTGAAATGAAATAATGTTATGATTGAAAATTGGCCAATGAAATAATTTTAAGATCAATTTTCTTAAAAATGATTAGAAAGCTATACGATAAAAATGATTAATAGTTAATATAATTTTGAATTTTGATTAAGATTGTCTCTTTTATCGATAGATTTAAATGTATATATTATTATTTAAGATATTTGTTGTTCACTAAACATGTATCAGATACTCTCTACTCAATACTTATTTATAAAAAATTCGCTTACTGTTCAAAACAATTGCGAAAATTTTTATTGATCGATAGATCACGTTTAAACTTGTTAAAAACAGATATTATTTTTAGGTGACTCATTAAAACAACAAATTTTTCAAGATTCTTTAATCACTAATGTATATGAAAAAAGGATGTGAGCGAGAGAGTGTGAGAAAGAATAAATGAGAGATTGTAAAAAGTTAATTCAATTCTGTCGTTTGTTATTAATAAAGAATCGTAAATTTGTATAGGCTTGCTATAATAAATAGAACCACGCTTTATGATGAATTTTTAGCAAACCTACCAATGTTTTTTTATTTTCTTTTTCTTTATATTCAAATTAAAAAAAATTTTTGATAAAAAATTTATTGATATTATATAATATTTTCATATATAGAAATATTTGGCAATAAGTTAAATAATTAATAAAGATCCGAAAACGTGAAAATATTAAGTATTCGAGTTGAATGGAATCAAATCAATTTTCGAAAATATGATGTACAAAAATCTGGAAATTTTGAGTATCCAAGTATCTGATCGAAAATTATTTCAGTCGGAATTTCCGAAAAAAATTGTATTTTAGGAACTTTGAATATGATCGTGAATTGAAAGTGTTTATAAAAATCTATATTTAATTTATTTTGATTTTAATTTTCGCATTTTTCATACTATATACTATAAACTGTCGGTAATTTTCCGAATTTATTTTATATAAAAATGGTAGGATTATTGGAACAAATTTTATAAATGCAATCATGAACTGAAATTATTTATTTTTTGAATATTTTTTCAAAATCAGAATATATTAAATATGTTTATAAATAATCGTTATAAATAATTTCAATTTGTAATCGTTTTTAATGAAGTTCATTTTGAAATTTTGAAAATTATAAATCGATCAAAATAATTTCCGATACCATTCGAAATTTTTGGATTGGTCGCATACTCATACTTTCGAGAATTCGACTTGAAAATTCTGACTCAATTCGAATTCTTAAACATCTAGTAATTAGATTTTATATTTATTATAAATTAAAAGTTCTATTCTTAATACTCTGCAATGTCATTTAAAAAATAGAATATAAAAGGAATTTAAATTAAATTTTTTTCTTTTATATATATGCATTATTTATATTTGTCTTATTTTCTTTTATTAGTTTTATTAATAATTGTTTTTTATCTTTATTTTATTTCTATTTAATTTGCATATAATAAATATATCAAAGTAACTAATATATATATATACATTTATAAATAATCATATATATACTTTTTTAATGATAAATAAAGCAATTTATTTTTCTTATTGAATATTATTACATATTCTCGTAAAACAAAATTGACTCACATTTGCACTTTTAAGATTTTTTATGAATTTTTATTTTATTTGAAAGTCTGAAGATTTAAGCGTATTATTTTAAAATTTCAGTACTTTTAGTTCTATATATATATATGATACAATTTATATTATAACATACAATATTTAATGAAAATATTATTTAATATTATATTATATAATTTAATATTTAATGAAAAATATTATCGTAATATTATCATAAATATTCGAATAAACAATACATAAAATATGTTTTGATATTCTCTTCTTTATATTCAATTATTTCACGAGTATTAAGTTGGAATTAAATTAAAATCTAATTCTAAGTTTTATATCGGTTAATATATAATTTAATTTTGTGATAATAATAATTTAATTAGATAATCATTCAAATTCTTTATCTGAAAAATAATTTAAATTTGATGTTATTACTTTTATTATTCAAGATTGTGTAAAAAAGTAATTAACATACAACTAAAAATAATTTGAATTTAGCGCTTACTAGTGTGTCTATTTTTTAAGAGGTTTGGATAATTAGTATCATGTAATTTATAAAAATCCCTAAAAATATACAACTTCACATGCAAATCAATTTTGAATTACTAAATTCTGGTAATTAAAATCGTCATTTTTTTATTATACATATTAAAATTTATAAAACATATAAAAAATTTTGAAACCGTCAAATTAAAGTTTAAACTATATTTTTAATAACTTTTATAGTTTTTATTGTTATTTATAATAAATGACATTTTTTTATTTTACAGATATTCAATTTGGTAATATTGGATACATTGATTTTTCTTCAGATAATTGTTCTCAGTTCATACTAAAGTTAGGTAGAATGGGAGACGTGTCCACAATATATAAAAGAGCGATGATACCGCAGATCAGCTTCTGAACTGGGGCTGATTTATTTATTGGATTATTCTTATTGTTTTTTTTAATAGACAATACGAATTATCCTTGCAATGGCCCTCAGTCAGACAAGTGTGGTGAGTAATAAATATGAGCAAAAGACCGATTAATTATAATCATTACAATGACGACAAGGACAATTTTTATCTCTTAATTTATTTTATTTTCATTCATTATCATCGTTACCCTCGTTTTTGATTTCCTTTATTTTACATTTTTTTTTATATTTTACAATTTTAATAATTATACGCTATAAATTTTTAGAGTAGAATAAAATTTCAAAATGTTATAAATTTTGATTTTTTCAATGTTAGTAATATTAATTGTATAAATTTTAAATCCAATTTATTGCAAATTTATTTTTTCTTTAATTTTTAAAAATTTTTTTCAATATTTAAGGTTAGACATAATGACAATATTTAAAAAATTTCAGTGTACCTTAATTTAATCAATAAAATTATTGAAATATATTAAATAATACTTATTATGTGTCTTTTAAAAAGAATTCTCACATAAAAAATTGTGATAATAATTGCAATTAATGTAATTAATGTAAAAAGCATTTTATGATTGGTATATTTATAAATTTTATTTTATAACTATTATTAATTTTTGATCATATATGAAAATGATCTGTAATTTTAATATAAATTTAGAATATCAAATATAAAATAAAGGAAGAATATTAAAATAAATAAAAATATGTAAATTTTAAGAATGTTAATTGATAATGAAATTTATTTTATAATTGAATTTATTTTAATTACAGCTAAAACTATATAATACTGTGATAGAGGATGTTATATCTGGTGTAAGGGAATCATTTATAGATGAAGGTGTAGATGAACAAGTATTACAAGAACTCAAACAAATATGGGAAACTAAACTAATGTCTAGTAAAGCTGTTGAATTAAATCCAGATCCTCCAGAACCTCAAGTTCCCCAAATAAATACGCACAAAGCTGTTAATAAAGGTAATATCTATATTCTTTTATATATCATATTATATTTTATTACATATATATTATATATAATAATATATATATAAATATTTTTTTTATAAATCATTAATATATTTTAATGAAAAAATTTAAATTAAAAAAATTTAAAAAAAAACTATTAATATATAATAAATTATTGTTACATAAATTGTTATTAATATTTTAAATAATTAATAAATATTTTAATTATTAAAAATTTTAATAATCTTTTTCTCAGCAAATTTAATATGATTTTAGGACTAAATATAGGAAATCATTTTGTACAACAAACAGGAAATTCTGCTCCTCAACAAACATCACAACAGCAGCAACAACAATCACAACAACAACAATCTCCTCAACAATCACAAACTCAGACACAATGTCATTCTACAACAACTGGTATACAACATACTGGTACACCAGTACAGCAATTAGTAACATCATCAGCAGTAATGGATCGGCAAGTACCTATTCAAATAACATTGCCACCACAGACAGGCGTTCCAGATGCTCCTTTAAGAGTTCTAACTATTCAAGTTCCTGCATCTGCAATACAAGGTACATTGAAATTATTTTTTTTTTTATTATATTTTAATATTAAGAGAATAAAAATTATATTTGCAAAATTAACTAATAAATTCTATTAATTTTTTAGGTAATCAATTGCATACAATTTTAACAGGTCCAGTTATTACAGCTGCAATGGGATTACCAGCAAACTTAGCTTCCACATTACTTCAACAGCATGTTAATTCTACGCTTCAAGGCCAAGCAACATTGACTCCACTTCAAGTTGTTACACAGAATGCAAATAATGTTTCTCAACGATCTGTCCAAAATCAGGTATATAATAGAAATTTAATAACAACAAATTTCATAACATCTACTTTTTATATTTTAATAATAATATTATTTCAATATATTAAAATTATTCCTAAATTTATCATTATTGAAAAATTTTTTAAATAATAATTAAATATATTTCTTTAATATATTATAATTACAATTATTAATTATATTCTTTCTTAGATAAAAAAGATATGAAAATTAATTTAAAAAGAATTATATATTTTGTAATATATTTTTTAATTATTTTATTATTATTATCTAGAAAATTATTTTAAAAATCATTAGTTTAGAAGATAATTTTAACTTTAATATTTTGAGCTGATATTAATAATTTATTTTCTTAAAGAAAATTGTTCAAAAAAATATCTAAGGAAAGAATTTTTTTAGAAATTTATTGATTTTTTTTTACAAAATTATTTAAAATAGTATATTGTTCTTAAAATATTTTATTAAATTAATATGCCTAACTTTTATTATCATCTCATTAATAAAAAATTTTTAAGTTGAGTACTATTTTATAATATTTACTATAATATTATAATATTTCTTTCAGCTAATAAATTGTTTAGCTAATAATAGTGATAAAAAAAAAGGATAAAATAAATTGATCAATAAGAAATATGATTAAAATTAAAAAAAAAATTCAATTTTCATTTATTATTTTATGCTTATTTATGAAATAAATCTGAAAATTCTCATTTTAATAAAAAATTTATGTGTATATAAAGAATAATAGATTTCACAGAAGAAAAACAATATTCAAAGTTTTAGCATATTTTTCATTTTTTAAATATAATTCTATAATGATGTGAAATAGGATAAAATTTTAAATTATAAATTGTTTACAATTAATTTTTATTTCTTTGTTAAAAAGAAAAAATTATTTTGAAAACATGAAAAAATTCTAAAAAATTTAAGGATTGATTTCACTTTTTTTAAAGAAATTTCATGTGATAAAAAAATTGTTTGATATGTAATTTATTATGCTTTACATACATATAAACTTTAATTAAAATTAGAATTTTCAGATTAACCCCTTCGCTATGGGAGCCTTCTTCGTCGTATGTGCATAGTGCTCGAGAAAGATCGTCAAAAACGACCGCGTTTACGCCTCACAATTCGAGTTTTGACAGTGTTTATTGAAAAAAAAATTGATGATACATTTCCAGAGAAAAATAGTCATACCGGCATCTTATGCAGAGCGATTATAATTGCCCATAGTAGCGAAAATAAAATAAAGTTAAATAAATTTCTCTGTAAGATAATGTTCAAATACTTTTTTCATACATTAAATAGTTTATTGACAATTTAAATTAATTAACGTAGATCATTCATTTTTATATAAATTTCATATTTTTAGGGTCAAGCAACATTGGCTCCACTTCAAGTTAGTCAATCTCTTCAAGTTGTTACACAAAATGCAAATAATGTTTCTCAACGATCTGTTCAAAATCAGGTATAGTTAGAAATAATATATTACATTGAATAATTATTTAAATAATAAAAAATATAATTATGTTTTTGTCTCATATAAAATTCATATTAATTTTTACTTAATTTTTATTATTTGTTCATGAATAGAATAATATAGCACAATTAGATGGGCCATTTGGTGATTCTTCAGATGATGATGAAGAAGAAGAAGAAGAAGATAATGAAGATGAAGAAGAAGATCTTGACGATAAAGAGGAAGAGGAAAATGATGAAGCTACAACCAGAGAAGAAGTATTTAAATTATTTGATTGCTTTTTTTTTTCATTTTTATGTTTTACAATATTTATATCTTTAAAAATATAAATCTTAAAGAATGAAAAAATCATTTATTTAATGATATTAATCATTTTTATTTTATAGGAGCCTTTAAATTCAGAAGATGATGTAACAGATGATGATCCAGCAGATCTTTTTGATACTGATAATGTTGTCGTCTGTCAGTATGACAAGGTATTTAATAATTTTATTTTAATGTAAAAAGTTATTTTAATACAAAAGATTTATTTATTGATAAAATATTGATATTAATAATATTTCTTAATAAATTCAAAATTAATTTTTAGATAACAAGGAGTAGAAATAAATGGAAATTCTACCTCAAAGATGGAATAATGAATCTTAGTGGTAAAGATTATGTTTTTCAAAAAATGAATGGTGATGCAGAATGGTAAATAATATTTAAAACTATGAAAATTGACCTGGTAATGTGTTCATGTGAAATTGATATAAAAATTTACTTTTAAATTTATGTTTTAAAGAAAAATTAAATTTTTTTTTAATCAAAATGTATTTGAAAATCAATAATTATTTTTACATTATATTAAGATATGATTAGGATTGAATAGAATTTTTATTTTTTTCAAATTAAAATTTAATTATTCAATTTAATAAAAAATGCATGTATTGAATTTATATTTTAAACAAAATATAACACAAATTTCATAAGTTATAATATACAGGGTGTTAATATATTCACATAATATGTTTATAGAACATTTTTAGAGAATTGGTTCTAGATGTTAAAACAAAATAAAAATTGGTATGCAAAAATGTCGTTTAAAACTTATTTATTAAATTATAAGTATTTAAATTAAATGAACCGGGAATAGAATACGAAAGCGATGAAATTAGAACAATGTCATTATCTCTATCTTGCTTCGTCTAATTCAAACTTCAATTGTTTGTAACTTAATAAATAAATTTTAATCAACATTTTTATATAACTTTTTTGTAATATTTTTAGCCCTTAAAATTAATCCTCTAAATTCTAAAAGTTCATGAATATGTTAACATCTTGTATAGAGATATTAGATAATATATAATATTTTAAAATTAACTTTAATTAAAAAAAACATTGAATCGAAAACATTGAATTAAAATAAGAAAATGTTAGTCATTCTAAAATTCAAATTTAATTTAAATGTAATATTACATAAATTTTATTGAATAATGAAAAGCTCAATAATCAAGCAAATCTTGTATTATATTTTGAAAATGCAAATTTTTTCACGTGAGTTTATTGTGTAAATAGTTTCTAAGAGGTTGCAATCTATTATAAATATGTGATGCTCTTAAAAATAAATGTGTCTTATACTGTTAACTTAATAGTTTCTTTAAAATTATACATTGTTAAAAATGTATAATTGTTTTTCCTTTTCTTATTCTTTTTATAAAGTTATAAAATGTGAAATTTTTAGACTAGTTAAAAAAACAGATAATATATAAAAATATATATATATATATATATTCTATATTTTTTAATTATACATAATTATTAAAATTTATTTATTTAATCAAGAATATATTATTTTTTTCTGAATTTTTATCTTCTAATTCACTAATAATTCTCGGAACCTCATGTAATAGTTCTTCTGCATTCGTTTCAAAATTTTTATCTAACCAAATATTTTTCAATTCTTTGATAACAATACCCATCATCTTCCTTTTTTTACATGTTGTTTTAGCATATTTCCACTAACTGGAAATCTGAAAACATTTAGTTTGATATATAAATAATCTTGATTATTTTTTATTAGTATAAAAAAGATCATTTTACAATTAAATTTGTTAAATATATATTTGTTATATATATATATTGTATTATCCACTTAAATGTTTCATTTTTTCTCCATTTAAATATCGGGAAGTTATTTTCACTAATTCTTTCATAAAACTTTGCTTTATTTCGGACTCAAAAAAAAAATCTTTCATTTATTTTTATTATTTTTTACTCTCGCCTTAGATGCACTCGATAAGCAAACAAAACGATGAGAATAATTTTTAGAGAATAATTTTTTATTTACTTTTCCAGACGAGTGCAATGTTGAACATGAAATACTTAAGCGGAAAATATCATATATATTAATATATAAATATATAAAACAAAATTTTGTAATCAAAAATATATATTATTATACATAATTTTTTAAAATTAGTAAAAATTAATAAATATTAACATATTTTGTAATTTTGTAATTTAACATTGTAATTTATTTTATTTTAATTTGTACTATACCTTGGTATTATTATTTTTTCTATGTCTTCAGCAAGATTAAAATATTTTTTACATTTTAATAATTCACAAATATAATTTTTTGTATTAACAATATTTCCTTTTGAATGAATAAGTATGCTTTTATAAAATTTCAGAAGATCTACTGATGGTTTATCTTCCCAATATCTAATTAAAAATAATGCTAAATCTCTATCATATGCAGATAATTTTAATCTATTATGAAGTTGGAATACTTCATTTTCATCTTTTAGCATTACAGCAAGAAAAGTAATTGGTTGCAAAAAAATATTATTTTTTTTAGATATATCATAAACAATTTTAAAATTTTCTACATTTGGATTTTCTGGAAATCCAACATATCTGAAAATGTATATTATATTATTATTATTTATATTATAATGCATATTATTAAATATGATATCACATATTTTAGATATTTTTTGATATATTATTACCTTGCAATATTACATTCCAACATTTTTAAAGTTAATTCTTTAGCATAATTTCCAGAAAGAATTTTTGACCATTCACTCCAGATTCTTTCTCCAGATATTCTTTGTAATCCATGTATATTTTCTTTTATTACTATTATAGTTGATTCATCATGCGCATCTGGTTGTTCTGCAATTCTTCCATAAAATCGAAAATACCTATATAATATATAAATAATGTAAATTTGAAGTAAATAAACAAAAAAATTTATATAATATAGAATTAGAATATAGAATTATATTAATGTATCCAATTTAAAAAGATATATGTTATTATTTATATGAAAAAATAATAAGAAAATACCTTAAAATTCGAAGATAATCTTCTTTAATTCTACATGCTGGATTTCCAACAAAAACAACTCTTCTTTTTTGTAAATCATCATAGCCAAAAAAATAATCATATATTTTTCCTTCAAAGTCAAGAAACATAGAATTTATTGTAAGATCTCTACGAAGAGCATCTGATTTCCAATCTTTTGTAAATTTAACTTTTGCATATCTACCATCAGTATGCATATCAATTCTAAGTGTAGTTATTTCAAAATTTTGTTTATCATTTATTCTTGCTGTAATTGTTCCTAAAATAATTTAAATAAAAGAATATAATTTTATGATAGAATGTTTTTTATTATAATAAAAAATATTAATATATATATATTTCAATATACCATGTTTTTCTCCTCTATTATTAATCATTCTAACATTTTCTTTAACAAACATAGTTTTCATTTCCTCTGGAGTAGCATCTGTTGCAAAGTCTAAATCTAATGGTTTTATATCCATTAAAATATCTCTAACAGCACCACCAGCAATTTTTAATTCATAATTATACTTTTTAAATAACTGAGCTAAGATATTAAGTTCTGGTGTAAATATAGAATGAAATAATGTATTATCTAGTTTTTTAATTACAGGATTAGACCTGCTTAATGGAATTAGTTCATCGTTCATGATAAGTGATTGCCAAGTTCTATGTACCTTTGCAAAATTTTAATTTTATTTATGTTTAATAATAAATATATCTATAAACATAATATTACATAATAAATGTATTTATTATATTTATTATATATTTTTAATAAAATATCATTTTTTATTAAAACATTTATATTAAATTCATCTTAAGAACTTAACCTTAATTTCTTAACTTAATAGAAATATATTTTTTAAATATACTCACTTGAGAAAGATGATGAGAAAAAACGTAATTTACACGAGAAAAAATCATAAACATTATTTAAAATTTCAAAAATATTTCCTAAAATCTCATATTACAAAATAATCTTATTTTTAATATTATTATATATCATACTACTTTTCTTGTAATTACTCAGGTTATGCTATATTGATCTTCACTTTTATTATAAAATATATAATAAATTATATATACTATACAAAACTACATAATAAATAAATTTATAACAAAATTATCTTTCTCAAATATTTTGTTGTTTTTATTTTTTTAATTTTTTTTATAATGTAAAAAATATTGCTTGCTTCAAATGAAAAATCATTTCGCATAATTTTATAACTAAATTGATAGGCATTACTATTATAATTTCTCTAATTTTTTTATTATATTTTTTTATATGATAATATAGATTATAAAAATGAAATATTATAACATATTATTATTACTTGGATTATAAATATGTCTCTTTTGAAATCATGAAGAAGTTGATTTTATGTTGTTTATATGTAAAAATAAATTGTAATAAAGAAAAAAAATATTTTATTTATTATTTATTTATATATAAAAATATTTTATTTTAAGTTTTGTTTTCAATGTTTCATTATGAATTATTATATTAAGTTTTATTATGAATTAAATTAAATATGAAAAAATTTCAAATACAAGTGAAATGTGTGAAAACAAAAAATATAAAATAAATTTTTTTCATTTAAAAATTAATTTTCCCAAAAAAATTGAATTTAAAAAATTCGTTAACTTCTTGATCGTAAATATCTAATATCAATTTTCTCAAAAACAAGGATATAAATAAACAAGGATATAAATAATAAATTTGACAATAAACAATAAATAATAAAACTATTTTACATTTTTTGTTTATTTTCATGTAAAGTAATTTACGTTTTATCAATAGCATTTATATTCATATTCATAATTTTATTGGAAACTAAATAATTTCTGAAAAATTTTCAATTAAATTTATTTGAAAATAAAATCTAAAAATGTTAATCTTTTTTCTTTTCTAACTTATTTTATAGTAGAACTTTGCTAGTATAAGAAATGGAATTAATGCATATAAAAATCGAAATATGTAATGAAAGAGATAATTAATCATACAATTTGTTTCTATATTTTTTTTATATTTTCTTACTATCTAAACCAGTATTATAATTTTGAAACTTATCAAAATCACCAAAACATAATGAATGAGAATTTGCAATAAACAAGATTATAGCGAAATTGTAAAATTGGCTGCTTGTATTATAATTTCAGATCTTGTAATTACTTATATTGTAATGTTATTTAAATTTATATCATATTTTAAATGATTTAAAATATTTTAGAATAAAAATAATTTTTTATAATTGATACATTTAATATCAATATGAATTAACATTTGTTTTATTATATTTTTTATTTAATTTTAAAATAATTTAAAAATATATATCATAAAAATTAAAATAAAAATATTTTAAAATATTTTAAAATAGAGGCAACTAAAAAAGGTTTTTAATGAAAGACGTTTAAATCTAAAAAATTCTACATTTCTGATAATATTAAATTCTTTATTTCTCCCTTCATTGTATATACATCATTATTTAGTACAAAAGATTCCACACATATACACCGACATTTTCGCTAATATTCACACTTGATGTCATAAATTTTATTTTTATGTATATTCATTCAATTTTTGAATATTATTAAATGTTAAGCGATTTTAATTTCATTTCGCATCTAATTTCTGAGTTGAAAGGATAAAAAGTATAAAAATTTAATAATTTAAAGATACTATTCGATTCTTTAACAACTAATACATATTTTGATGCTAATTTTTATTTTTTTTATTTTAGCATTTTGGTATTCATTTTTTATTAAATATAATATAATGAGTTTATGATCATTATTATCTGTGAATATTTTCTGGAGCTTTTATATAATTATGTATCTTTCTTAAGATATTTGAAATAACATCTCTTAATTATTATTTTAAATAAATGATGATATGGTGTTTTGAGTTAAAATTTAATTTTAATTTAAAAAAATTAGACATTACTATTGTGAAATTTTTGTTTAGATATAAATAAAATAAAATTTTATATATATACATATTAGTGATTAATCGTTTAAATGTGATAAACTAAGTACATTTTTTGCTTATTTCAATTTTGTTACAAATTTACAAATAAATTCAAATATTATATAATATATTACATAAAATTAAATTCATATTAAGACTGTTATATCCCGAATATCCTCGATACTCAAAGCGTTATAACTAAATTTATTTGATATGAAAATATATATGTTATCAATTCGGATATATTTGGATACTTAAGTTTGAATACTCGAATTTAGATTCGAGTAATAATAAAAATCCTAATCTATACATATGTATATATTACATATAATATATACATATAAATATATTATACAAGATATTCTAAAATTCAAGACTTAACTAATTTTGAAGTAATTTTTCCAGTAATTTTTGCTTTACGAAAATTTTCGACTTTATTAACAAGTTATTAACGAATATTAATCAAATGATACATATTGTTTCGACTATTTGTTTGATACACATTGCTTCGACTCTTTGATGATACGTATTTAATGCTATCATTATGACACAACAAATCTATGAGTTTTGTAATTGACTAATGTTTCAATAACTCATTAATAAAACTGAAACGAAAATTTTTATAAAGGAATTACTTTAAGAATTATAATTAAGTTAAGCCTTATCTATTAACTTCTAGGATGCGCTATAAAAATCAAAATATGATACTAATCTAAATTATTTTTCAAATAATAGATTAAATCTAAATACAATTGTTAAATTGTTAAATAATTCAATTAATAAATTTTATTATTATATGTATGAAAAATTAAAGAATTATGTAAGAATTAAATATGCACGAAAATGATAATAAATTCTTATTCTGAAATGTTTTTGTTATAGATTTAGCTGAATATTTCGCTAAATATTTATAATAATTAAATAGATGAAAGTAAATAATACTCCAAATAATAATCACAGATAAATTGATTGAGTATGAAAGTTTCATCAGTACGGTTATCAATATCAATTTTTAAATGATACCTCAACATAAATTCTAGAAAATAAATTATTTTCCGATTTATTGAACTATTTTGAAAAAAATTAGAAACACAAATACAATAAGATTTAAATAATATTTTTATAAGATAATTTTTTAAAAATATTCATCTTTTTTTAACATTGTTTTATCATTTAAAAGTTTAAAAGAATCGAACATTATCCAATCACTTTCTGAGAAAAATGTTTGATTATAATTGGCTAAATATCAGCCAATTGGATATTGAGCAGTACCTTTTGAAATTCTTTTTTCATAGTTTCAGGAGAAAAAAATCTATATTTCCTTAAGACTAATTTTCAGTCGTTCTATTTCTTTCATTCCCACACATAGTTTATAGCTATACAAAATTAGAGTTGGACAATTTTTATTCGAATAATATTCAGTGAAAAACACTTAAATAAAATATTATATATTCAAATATTTCTTTTTCTTTTTGATTAATTTATGTTTAATTTTGCAAATAAATGCAGCCTTTATTTGAATCTAGTATTTTTTAAATATTTTATTCATTATTAATTTATCAAAACTTATTATTTTATTTTTTCATTATGTTATAATTAGATTTTATAAATAAATTTTTGAATAATTTAATTTTGTATCTGTTTAACTTTTCATTTTTTAATATTCTATATTAAAATTTAATATTAAATTAATTTTATTTTTATTACCTTTTTATTAATTTTATTTACCACTAAGTTTTGACAAAAATAATTAAAATATTTTTAAATCAAATAAAGTAGGCTGCATATTTATTCGAATAAATTTCATCCATTTAAGTAAATTTAAAAATAAATAGAAAATAATTTTAATTAAAATTCACTTAAATAATTATATATTATATATAAACATCAACTTACATATTAATAATACATACAATAGTATTATTAATAATACAATAATGAACATAATGGTAATAACAATAATCATAGTAATGATAATAATAATTTATTCGAATAATGTCCAACTCTGTATTAAGAGTCAAATTACAATATGTACGTTTGAACGTGGCGTTTAAGCATTTTTACATGTGTATTAAGAAATATAAAAATGAAAGTCTCTGCGGAAAAACCAAAAATAAATTTGTGATATATTTTATATGTTATTTAATGTAAGTATCATAAATATTAATGTACAGTTTCTATTAAATAATAAAAACTAATATTTAATTACTTGAATAAATAATTATTAAAGTTTTATGTTTGCAGTAGATATTTGTCTAATATATAAATAATTATTATACCAAGAAGATTAATGTTATTATTAATATTTTTTATAATAGCATAAATATTCATATAAAATTTGTATATTTCTTTTTATTTTTGTAAAGCTTTATCTGTACAAATTTTAATTATAAATTGATTTTTACAATGTACTGCAAACTTTAATAAAAATTTAAACAATTTTCTTCTTTAATATATTTTAAGTAGTACATTAAAAATAGATGTAAATAATAACAAATTCGTAAAATTTATGATATGAAGTAAAGAAAAGAAAATAAATATATATTTAATAGTTGTCAGATTGTCAATTGCAATTATATTCATTAAAACATTTATTCAATTAATGATATGAAAAATGTGAATGTAAATTCACTTTTTTTGCATTTTATTTATTTTTTCTTGATCAATTATAATTAATTTTAAAGTTTTTGAAAATTTAAATATATAAAGAAAACAAATTAATTTTATAAATAAGTATTCAAATTCAATATGTAAATTATAATGAATTTTATACATATGAAGAATTGAATTTTCTTAAAATTAAATAAGGATTAAATTTAATATTATGTAAATAATGGATCTTCCGTAGAGACAATTGAATTCCCTGATGAAACAAGGTCTTATTTATATAAATAATAAATGGTATTCTTAAAAGTTAATCGATCAATTAATCAAGCAAATAATCAATCGATCAATTAATGAATTAATTACGTATTTACAAAGAATACATACATCGCATCATCGAAGAGGAGACTAGCTGTCTCAAAGCTGATTCACCATTCATCGAGAACGACGATATCTGAACTACAAAATTGAAGGGAATTG